TGGGCACCACATTGGCGGACCCCTGAGTTACGTATTCATTAAATTCTGTGTGCAGTAGTATCTTATGACAACCTTCTATTTATGCAGCAGACACTCAGGAGTATTACCTCATTATAAAACAATGTCCTTAAGCTCTTCAGTGTTTGTGTCCCTAAAACTAAAAAGCAATATAAAGGTAAAGGTAAAGGTTCCCTTGCTCGAAAGCCAGTCGAATCCGACTCTAGGGTTGCAGTGCTCATCTCCGTTTCAAAGCCGAAGAGCCAGCGCTGTCCGAAGACGTTTCCGTGGTCATGTGGCCGGCATGACTAAACACCAAGGCGCACGGAACGCTGTTACCTTCCCACTGAAGTGGTGCCTATTTATCTACTTGCAATTTCTTGCTTTCGAACTGCTAGGTTGGCAGGAGCTGGAACTAGAGACGGGAGCTCACTCCGTCATGCGGCACCTGGGTCTCGAACTGCTGAACTACTGACCTTCCACAGCCTGCAGTTCAGCGTCTTAACCACTTGAGCCACCGCAGCTCCTAAAAAAAAAAGCAATATACCTTTATGCAAAGCAATATACCAGCTACCACGTGTTAAGCCTGTTAAAATAAATTTGTCAATTAAAAAAAAATGTTACCATTGCTCCTTCCTTGTGTAGTGCCAGGTTTAAGGGAGCAAATGGTCTGTGCCTATATAACTTGCAAACATTGCATCTTGGATCCCTATACTACTTTATTGCATCTGTTGTTTACTAGGGAGGCCTGCACACAGTTCAGACTTGTATGACGATGCTAGCATGCGTAGTGTAGTTTTGGTTACATTGGCAAGCCACTTCTTTAGTGTTCTTTAAAATTTTAGTTAAAGATGTAGAATTTCTGGAAGGTTTGAAGTCATGAGGAAAAACTGTTTTCCCCTCATTTTTCAGGAGAGGGAGAAACACCCTAGAAATTGGTGGTGGTGGTGATTTATGCTATACTTTTCCACTTTGTCTGTCTGTATGTTTGGTAATGGTCAAAGACTGATAAAAGCCTCTGAGGCAAAACCACAGAGTGGTGAGGTGTGACTCCTCAGAACTCCAGGGTAGCACTATCACAAGTCCCCTTAACTAACTCGCCAGCCAGAAAGAAAGGGGCTAAGTCTCTAGTCCTCCCTGGTCTAAGATCAAGAAATTCACTCTACAAGGTAGGACAAGGTGAGTTCCGGAAAACAGTTATTCTGGCAGCTGTAGCCAATAAGGGCTAAAGTAGTGGATTCAGATTGAAGCCTCCAAACCCAAGAACACCACAAGACACGATTAAAGTGTTTTATTAAAAGAATGTCCAGGAATATACAATATAAGAGCAGTGTACAGAGACGATAAAATAATAAAGGTGTATGTCTAACCTAAACACATTTAAAAGCATTGGTTCTAAATCCAGATGTTCGTTTTATATCATTACTATATTTTTATATTGCATCCTCTCCTGTACGGTCTTGGAGTGGTTTATAATAAAACATTCCACAATAAACATTCAGTAAAATGCATCTAAGCATTAAAATAGCACTAGCTGGTAAAATACAACAACAATAAAAGATTAATAAAACAATAGTATAAATAAATTTCTAGAGAGTAAGCTAATCACATAGGGGATGGGGCCGTTCCACAAAATTTAACCAAAGGCCTGATGGAATAGAGCAGCCTTACATGTCCTGCAGAATGCAGGAAGATCCTGTGGAGTGTGGGCATCATCAGAGGACTGGCTCCAAAGGGCAGGAGGAACAACCAAGAAGGCCCTGGTGGAAGATAAATGGGCCATCTGGGGGCCAGGCACCTGCAAGAACCCTGAGATCCTGCCCAGAGGGTGTGTGCGGGGAGGTCAACCAGGACAGGTGGCCCCTAATGTCTGCCCGGCACCTGTGTCATCTCCCTTCTCCCTTATCTCACTCTTTGCTTCCATGATTTTTACTAGGCCTCACCCTGAGCCAGTGTTTCTGAATAGACAAGAGACTGTTAGAGGGAGCTAGTTTCTTGACATAATAACAAGAAGATAAACCATGTGGTGGGAGTCAATCCACATTGCAAAGTTGATGTTGGCCTTCATATGCATGAGGATTACTGTTGGGGAGAAAACAAGAATAATCTTAAATGTTTAGGTGTTCTTTGTGGCTGAAGAGTTTGATGTTTTTGGAAAGCAAACGGGAGGATGAACAATGATGGCTGGAGGGGTTCCGTGTCAGTTCAAGGAATGGTAAAATGAAGCCACTGCTAGATCTGGGTTATGCAACTCAAATTTTTACCCAGATCACAATGGTCTGCACCAGACCACTAAGTAGGTTACTCTGGGCACTGTCCTCTGACATCTCTGGGTGCCCTGGCTGGCTACAATGGGAAGGCTTCTCCGAAGAGACCTCTGTAGCCAGCTGGGGCGCTGCAGTAGCAACAGTGATTGGCGTGCTGTGACTCAAGGTTTTCAAGGGAGGGGCGGGGAGGAAGACAGATTTTGGGTATTGGCTGTGACTGTGGCCATAGGGCAGGCTCCCCCACCTTATGTAAGTGGACTATTGTAATGGGTCATATATTGTATACTTCTGTCCCAAATCCTACTATAAATGGTGCAGGTCTGTGGGCAAAAATAGCTAAGCAGTCAGGTTTTTTTTTTTATAGGGCTCAGTGTTCTACTTCTTAGTGTTGAGAGTTTGCGATTTGTTGCTGTTGTTGTGCACAGTCGAGTCCGACTCTTCGCGACCCCATGGACCAGATCCCGCCAGGCCTTCCTGTCTTCCGCCGTCCTCTAAAGTTGGCTCAATTTCATGTTTGTTGTATCTTTGACACTGTCTAACCATCTCATCCTTTGCCGTCCCCACACTCAATTAAATTTTTGTGGAACAACAACATTTTTTACTTCATCTAGTGTATAACTGTAACTGTTTTCGTTTTCTCTTTGTTCCAGGTGCAGACTTCTCTGGAGCATAAAGGCACTATGTACTCAGAGTGGAGGTCCCTACACCTTGTAATTCAAAATGATAAGGGCCACACCAGTGTACTTCACAGCTATCCTGACAGTGTGGGGAGAGAGGTGGCAAACGTCGTTGTGCGTCCCCTTGGTCAAGCTTTGAATGCTCCACTACCAGTTGAGAGTGTACTGAAAACTGACAAAGAAGTGAGTGCCATCTGTTGTCCTTTTAGTACCATTTTGGTTTGAATGTGATTGTCAGTGAGCTGTTTGCAGTAAGCTTAAAAAAGTGTCACAATCCTAGGTCCACTTACCTCAGAGTAAGTCCATCATATGCATAGGAACTTGGTTCTGAGCACACGTGCATGGGATTGTACTGTAAAGAACTCACGCTCTGAAGCATATGCCGGTGCTGTTCTGTACAAGGATTTTCCGTTTTTTTAATAGCCGAAGGAAATAATATTCTTTTCATGTTTCTGCTAAGTTAAAACAAGAACACAACAGATATAATTTAGTACAAAATAAACTGGGGTATAGACTTTTCCAGTCACTACAATTTATATTAGCAGCTAAAGGTCTGATTCAGCTAACTTGGCTGGATATGTGGCCTAATAGAAAAAGATTATTTTGCTGTGTTATCAGTATAGTATACTCTGTCAGCAGCCTTTGATACGATCACTCATGCCTTGTTAGACCAGTTGGAGCAGGAATTTAGAATTTCTGGCGCAGTCCTACAGTGGTTCCAGGTGTTACTAACAATACCTCAAGATCAGTGATGGTGAACCTTTTAGAGACCGAGTGCCCAAACTATGACCCAAAACCCACTTATTTATCGCAAAGTGCCAACACGGCAATTTAACCTGAATACTGAGGTTTTACTTTAGGAAAAACAACTCATACATTAACTTAAGATGATCCAAACATAGTAAGGAAAGCAATCCCAAATGCTTTCATTTACTTAAAATTATTTGGCAGAGAATTTGACACTTTAATGATGGTCTGGGCCTGGCTGGGGCGATGGGACGCATGCCCACAGAGAGGGCTCTGAGTGCCACCTCTGGCACCCGTGCCATAGGTTCGCCACCACTGCTCTAGATGCTGCAGTCTCTGCTGCAGAGTGCTGCCCCCAGCCTTTAGGGGGCTTTTTAGGAACAGCACTGTTTACAGTGTGGAGGTCTTTAGTGGGAGGAGAGAATTGCTAAAATGCTCCCAGCAGCAGAAGTGCCCTTCCAGCAGTAGGAAACAAATATTAAATCCAAACACAGCATGGGAACCAGCATGGTGTGGCAGTATGAGTGTTGCTAGGATCTGGGCGATCAGGCTCAAATCCCCACTCTGCCATGGAAGCTTGCTGGGGTGACCTTGGGCTAGCTACATGCTCTCAGCTTAACTTCTCCCACAGGGTTGTTGTGAGAATAAAATGGAGAGGGGGAGAATATTGTAAGCCATTTTGGGTCCCCAATGAGGAGAAAAGTGGGACACGAATAATGTACAATAAAAAAATAAAAGCCCATTATATTTTCCCCTAGATACAGAATGTACACATTTGAGAGCTCAGAAAGTAGAATATTTGACTTTGAAATCACAATTTTGAGAGAAGGTAGGAAATAATTGAGCACTTATTGTGCAGGAAAATCTCTTTATTATGGAAAATATAACAGGTGTAGTCAAAGTTAAACAGGCATGATGAGATTCTTATTCTCTAGTGTGGTGTTTTTCCTGAATGGTAACTTCAGGAAATTGTTTGCTGTGCCATCAGAATGCAGGGCAGCTTAGGCATTTGATTTATGCCCCTCTATTTCATTTCCAAATCCCACAAATGGCTAAGTTATAACATGAACACAACAGATATAATTTAGTACAAAATAACAACAATAAAACCATCAAAGCAAAACAGCTTAAAAGCAGATGATGATGGCTCCTATCCCTTGCACGATTTCTTTAGCATATAAAATCAGACCTTCGATGAATGAAGGTGGGTCATGTGTCCCAAGTGACTTCAGTTCAACAGCAATGAAATCCATGTCTTTTAACAAAAGCATTTCCAAATTATGTTAATTCCATAATTTGTGTGTGTGGTTGTGTTTGTACCTTGCTGAACGAGTGATTGTTGTTTTTCTTTTACTCGATATAATAGATACTGTATCCAAAGTGGTATTCTGTAACATAACCTGAACACATTTTCTAGTCTATGAAGAATAGGGAGAGCGAGGCCCAGCTGGGCTGCAGCTCAGACCTGCAAATGATGGCATGCTAGGCATGTATGGGTTGTTGTCTCTTCCCTTAATAGAGCATTACCGTCTTTTCAAAGCTTGGGGGATGTATGGAGCCCAGCTCAGCTGAGATGAAATAAATCCCTACAGAGATTCTCTACAGAGATTCATAAGCAAAAAAAAAGACAAGCTCATGTTTCCAAGGAATCTAATTCGACATTGGACAGTAATAGAGGAAGTAGAGGTGTATTTCTTTTGCTTTAGGTCATTTAAGTGCATTAGTATAAGAATGAGCAGTAGCAGAGCAAAAGGCTGTAAAGCTAGATTCCAAGCTGAAAAGCATTGAATTGATATGTTAAAAAAGTTACTAGTTTTTATGAAGCTTGTGTAATTTTGCTGCTTCAGGTACAACAAAGAAGCAGAACTCTTTTATTTTGTCTCCCAGGAAGGAGTGATTCTCAGTGCTTGCAGTACAGACCTTGTTCATGCAGTCTTCACAGTGACTAAATTACTTAATGTTCAGTAGATCAACAGTTCAGTGCAGAAACGTCCCCTCTCTTCTGCAGACAATTGCTATACAGTGTATGATGTGAGCATGAGCTAGTATGTTCATTCATGTGTGCACCAGGCTTTGGTAATTTTGCTGACCTATTTCTGAAGTGGGCATGAGATTGTAAGCACACACTTGAATGAAGGAATATGTTACACTTCTCATGGTAGAGGGCTTGCATGCCACCTTTTTGCTGTGATCATCCATGCCCTTGTCATTGCAGATGCTTACAGTTCTCCTCTATATGGCTGGTGGGTTGTGGCTGCCAGATGAGACAGTGATATGTAACCCCCCCCCCGCCCCAAGGGTGGTACTGTAACACTTCACTTTTCTTCTAGGTAAAATGGACCATGGAGGTAGTTTGTTATGGCCTTACACTGCCTTTAGATGGTGACACGGTAAAGTACTGTGTTGATGTTTATACAGACTGGATTATGGCTCTGGTCTTACCAAAGGATTCCATTCCTGCACCCATTGTGAAAGAGCCAAATCTTTATGTTCAGATCATTCTCAAACATCTGCAAAATCTCTTTGTACCAAGGTGAGTAGCAACAAATAGAAAATAATTTTGATTTAATTATGCAACATTGTTCTTAACCTAGTGTTTCAGGCTGATAGGTAGCTATAATGCAGATTTAATCATATTTTAGTTTAAAGAGTTAACATAGAATGTAGAAGAATCTCAGAGTCTCATAACTTCCTATTTTGGAAGTAAAATTAAAGTCAAAGATAATGTATAGGAAACCGGATTCAGGTGGGTAGCCGTGTTGGTCTGAAGCAGCAGAACCAGTTTGAGTCCAGTGGCACCTTTAAGACCAACAGTGTTCTGGTATTTGAAAAAGTGTGCATGCACACAAAAGCTTATACACAGAATAAAACTTTGTCTTAAAGGTGCTACTGGACTCAAACTGTATAAGAAACTGGTAGCTCCAAGGGGAAAAAAACTCTAAGGATGTATTCTACACAGGGCAATGTTAAAGTTGGAATAAAAATTAATTTTGAAGTAGTGATTAATGTGTATAGTTGATATGTAGTACAGTATATATGTAGCAGTCCTAATAGCCCAGACTGTGTCATCAGAGCTCAGAAGCTAATCAGGGTTGGTAACTGGATGGGAGACCACCAAGGAAACTGGGGCTACTATACAGAGGTATAGTATAGTATAGTATAGTATAGTATAGTATAGTATAGTATAGTATAGTATAGTATAGTATAGTATAGTATAGTATAGTATAGTATAGTATAGTATAGTATAGTATAGTATAGTATAGTATAGTA